TCACCATGTTGGCCAGGCTGGTCTCAAACTCCTAACAGCAAGTGGTCCACTTGCCTCGGTCTTCCAAAGTGCTGGGATTATAGGCACGAGCTACTGTGCCCAACCAATAATTTTTAAAGCTCCTCTACTTTCGAAATTTCAACTTTAATTAATAAGACAATAACAACAGAAAGATGTCTTTTCAGATATTCTGTAGTTTAATCCTTTTGAACAGGAAAAGCATGCCTTCTCCATTTACTGATTTCATTTGTCTTTTGAATTACAAACCAATGCATGCTTATTGTAATAATCCACACAATACATAGTTATAAAAAGTAAAATAAACCTTTCCTTCCCCTTCTCCCAAACAGAACACTGTTAACAATCTGGCATATATCCTTCCATATTTTTCTTACATAAATACATTTGAACATACAACATTGAAAATGCAATCAAGAACTTAAAAATAAAACATTTTTAAAAAGAAAATGGAATTGCATAATAAACATTATTCTGTAATTTGTTTTGCCTCTGAGTAGCAGTATGCTCTATTCTGTAAACATCCCTTTTGCTACTACAACGTCAAAGGAAGACACTTCATTAACTTGCTGGACAAATGACAGGTAAGTTAACAAAGCACGAGACGGAACCCTCCAGTGACCAGGCATTTGACATTTACTGCACGACATTTCTCCCTGGGGTCTTCTACGAAAGATCAGACATGACTGACTGTGCCTTCCTCTGATGTAACATCAACTGTTATTTATTACATTATATTTTATCATCACAAAATTTATTTTAAGCTGGGCAGAGTGGCTCACACCTGTAATCCCAGCACTTTGGGAGGCCAAGGTGGGCAGGTTGCTTGAGTTTAGGAGTTCAAGACCAGCCTGGGCAACATGGCAAGAGAGCGTGTCTCTACAAAAAGTACAAAAATTGGCCAAGCGTGGTAGTGTACACCTGCAATCCCAGTTATTTGGGAGGCTGAGGCATGAGACTTGCTTGAACCTGGGAGGCAGAGGTTGCAGTGAGCCAAGATCGTACCACTGCACCTCCAGCCTGTGCGATCATTTCTCCACGAGTTTTTACCTATAAAATCTCTCAGAGTAGGTTATTTTACTTTTACATATTTTTGTCTATTTTCAATAAGACATTCATTTCCTAAATAGCACATTTACATAAAGTTTTTCATCTCTAGTGCTTTAACAGGGCTTATCACATGGAGAGAGCTGAGAAACTTGTTGAATGCAGGGACAAAACAGTAAAATGGAAATTTTGAAAGAAAACTTTGCTGTTTATAGCATCTTAGCTAGGCTAGGTGCAGTGGCTCCTGTCTGTAATCCCACCACTTTGGGAGGCTAACATAGGATGATTGCTTGATGCCAGGAGTTCAAGACCAGCATGGGCAACATAGTGAGATCCGATCTCTTAAATACAAAAATTATAAAACTTAGCCAGGCATGGTGGTGTGCACCTATTGTCCCAGCTACTTGGGAGGTTGAGGTGGGAGGATCATTTGAGCCCAGGAGTTGGAGGCTGCTGTGAGCCACGATTGCACCACTGCACTCCAGCCTGGGCAACCAAGCAGGCTTTTTTTTTCTGACTGTCTCAGAAAAATAAAACAAAACATCTCAGCTGTAGACAGAAGGCTTTATCTACTTCCTAGTGATGCTCACAGTTTGGTGAACCAAATAATACCCAGCAGAGAATTGTACTGTTTACCAAGTAGCTATCTTTCTTTAAAAAATAATGTTGACTGATTTTTTTTTCAGATTTAAAATACCATGTCCTTTATAGAGAAACATGACTGTGAAAGTGAGGAAGGAGCGGGGAGAGGCGGAGTGGAGAGGAAGAAAGGAGGAAGTGAAAAAAGGGAGATCCAGCCAAGCTTCTTTATCATGATAGAGGTTTTACGGCAACATAACTTGAGGCAGTATCTTTAATAGCTAAATCATAAATTAAAACAACACTAATTTCTGATGTTGGCAAGGTTGGCTTAAGCTGACACATATATTTTCAGCTGCAGTTTGTATCTTTGCATCATTAGAGCTCCTGCCAAGAGTAGCCTTTTGAAATTAAGAGCAATTTTAAGGTGTCTTTGGCCTGACCAGAGGGAAAATGTTACATGCCCAGACAGCAGTATTTCATCTGTTCCCACCTGCCCACCCTCCAGAGTAACACCAAAAGCTAAGAGAAAAAAAGACAGCTGTAAAACTCTAAAGCAGCCCTGATATGACACAGAGAGCATTCGGTTTCAAAACCATCAACGGAAAAAAGCAGACAGTTCCCGTGTTGTGGACTGTTAGTTGCCCAAAAAAGCCACTACTTCCAAATCATTATTTCCAACCCTGTCTTATCCCTGAGACTTCGAGCTTGTAAAACACACGACCTATTTAATCTTCTACTTGGATATTTAAAAGCTATCTCAAATTTAACATGGCCACCAGGGAGCTCAAAATTTCTCCCCAAATGTGTCCCCTTTTCCCTGCTGGTTTTCTCTATGTCAGCAAACAGTTCCACCGTTCATGCAATGGCTTGAGCCAAAAACCCAAGTGTTGTTGATTCCTTTTTCTTTCAGCCTGTACCTCAAATCAGGCAAAAAGTTTTATTGGTTCTGCTTCCAAAACGAATCCTAAATGTACCCACTGCTCTCCAGCCCTGGTCCCACTGACTCCCCACACCATCTCTTGCTTGGACTAACCACTCAGTTCGTGGCTGTCCTGTCTACTCCACTGCCCTCTATAACCAAGTCACGCAGCAGCAGTGGGGTGATCTTTTACAACCACGAATCAGACTGCATCTCTCCCCAGCTTCATGCCCTTTCCTAGTGCACCCATATTTAAAAAGCTTACCATCAAACTTGGTTTAATGGTTTAAAATCCAATCCCCTTATCTTTTCTTGAAAGGCCTCTTACAAGCTGCCCCAGCCCACTGCTCTGATTCTTCCTGTACCACTGCCAACCTCAGCCACTCCGCTAGGATAGCGCAGGACCTCTGTGCACTAGAGCTCTCACCCCAGGCTTCTGCTTACGGGGCTACATCTTACCACTTACGTATCAGTTTTCATCTCAGGCTGGGCCCGGTGGCACTAATCCCTGCAATCCCCGCACTTTGGGAGGCTGAGGTGGGTGAAGCACTCGAGGTCAGGAGTTTGAGACCAGCCTGGCCAACATGGTGAAACCCCATCTCTACTAAAAAATACAAAAATTAGCCGGGTGCAGTGGCAGATCCCTATAGCACCAGATACTTGGGAGGTTGAGGGAGGAGAATTGCTTGAACCTGGGAGGCAGAGATGGCAATGAGCAGAGATTGCTCCACTGCACTAAAGCCTGGGTGACAGAGCAAGACTCCATCTCAAAAAACAAAAAATAAAATAAAATGTCATCTTACAAAGCTTACCTAAAACAGTGCACCACCGTATGTAGTAAAATAATAGATGCATTTACCCTTTGACCCAGCAATACACTCATAGGAATGTATCACAAAGAAACACTTGGGAAAATATGAGAGCCAAGTAGACATTACATGACTCCTGATTGGAGTATACAAGACCACCAACCAAATGCAAACAAACCCACACACACATGCACCCCCGAATTTAATCAGTCCTCTCTTGATCTAACTATAGGCACCAATCCACAAGAAATACAGGAAGCAGAGGAACATGCAATCAACAAACCTAAAATATAAATACAGGGAATTAGCCAAGATGCACGATCCATTTTCTACAGCAAAAATGATTTATAAGAGGAAAAAAACACATGGAAGAGGAAATGAAAATTTTTAGATATGAGCCCAGCACTCTCAATAACTGTTTAAGCAGAACACACATCAGCTGGGGCCGGGTGCGGTGGCTCACAATTGTAATCCCAAGACTTCAGGAAGCCGAGACGGGCAGATGACGAGGTCAAAAGATTGAGTCCATCCTGGCCATCATTGTGAAACCCTGTCTCTACTAAAACTACAAAAATTAGCTGGACATGGTGGTGGGTGCCTGTCATCCCAGCTACTCCGGAGGCTGAGGCAGGAGAATTGCTTGAACCCAGGAGGTGGAGGTTGCAGCAAGCCGAGATTGAACCACTGCACTCCAGCCTGGCAACACAGTGAGACTCCGCCCGCCCCTCCCCCACAAAAAAGAATACACATCAGCTCACAGCTATAATCCCAGCACTTTGAGAAGCTGAGGCAAGAGGGTCCCTTGAGGCCAGGAGTTCGAGAGCAGCCTGGGTAATACAGTGAGGCTTTCTCTCTACAAAAAATACCCAGGCATAATCGCGTGTACCTCTAGTCCCAGTTACTTGGGAGGCTGAGGCAGGAGGATTGCTGAAGCCCAGGAGTTAGAGGCTGCGGTGAGCTATGATCATACCACTGAACTCTAGCCTGGTGACAGAGCGAGTCCCTGTCTCAAAATTAAATTAAACTAAATTTAAAAATAAAGCAAATAAGAGTACGTATCTTTTAGGAATATATGCTGAAACAATTATGAAAACAAAACAAACGATATAATGAAACGAAACAATTAAATGGTATAATTTTGGTGGTTTGCTTTAAAATAATCTGGGCTAAGAGCATAGAAAATGGGTAAAGGTATAATTGAGACAACTCTGGGTCATGAGTTGCTCACTTCTGAAGGTGAGTGATGGGTGTGTGGGGGCTCATTAGACCAATCTCTTTACTTCTGTATATGTCTGAAATAAAGGTTTATGTAAAAGCCAACCAATTACTCACCACCACACTATTCTATTTCTCAGCATATTCGTGACACTCCCTGGCTTTTAATTACTCATTTGTGTCAAGTGTCTATCCTCCCATTGAAACACTAGCTTTATAAGAGCAAGAGCTTAGTCTTCTTGACTGCTGTTATCCCCAAGGCCTAGAACAACGCCAGGTTCTTGATGAACACTGATCACTACGTGGATACATGAATACAATTCCTGGGACCTCCTTCAGAGTTCTACAGGGTTTTAACCACGATTCTTTTTTTCACTCCACCATGGCCAGCAGAGCCAGCAGGGGCCTACCTTCACTTCGATGAAGTCAGGATTCCCCAGGGACACGAGCTGCGCGTAGGCCTGGAGCTCGTCCACGTTCCACGCTTTCACAAGCGTCAGTCTGTAGACAGTTCGTTGTTGCTAAAACAAAGGAAAAGCCAACTCCGTTGTTATCTTGGTGGACACCATCTACAGCCTAGAGGGTTTCTCAAGCTTTTTCAACCCAGGGAACCCAGGGCAGGCAAAACTCATTACGAACTTTTGTCAACTGAAGCTATATTTTGAGGAAAGATGAAACAAAAATAAATGCTATAGTATGATCCTAACATGCTTTATGGAAGGCACATGAGATACTGATATATTTCTTTGCTCTCACCCACATCTAGCACCATGCCAGGCATCCAAAGGTTTCTCGACACAGACACACTGAATTTCGTTTAGTAAGGAATGATAAACTGACCAAACAGTGGTAGGCTATAAAAAATTAATTCAAATACCCTTTAGGCGTTCAGGTAATCATCACCCAAGTTGTTAGTGACAAGAATTGTTGTTAAGTCCTGTCCTCGTTCCCATTCTCACATTATTTAATCATCACTTGGTATTTCTTGTTGGCAGAAATGGCACATGGACGGACTGTCAATGCTGCCATTTGTGTGCCACATCAACACAAGAGGAACTGGTTTTCTTTTTTTCATTTTTTAATTTTTTAATAAAGACGGGGTTTCACCATGTTGGTCAGGCTGGTCTTGAACTCCTGACCTCAGGTGATCCGCCCACCTTGGCCTCCAAAGTGCTTGTATTACAGGCGTGAGCCACCACGCCCGGCCTCTTTTTTGTTTTTTTTTAGAGACAAGGGTCTGGCTCTGTTATCCAGGCTGGAGTTCAGTGATGCAATCATAGCTCATCACAGACTCAGTCTCCTGGGCACAAGTGATCCTCCTGCCTCAGCCACCCAAGTAGCTGGGACTACAGGCACATGCCAACTTTTTTAAAAGTTTTAAAAAAAATTTTAGAGATGAGGTCTTGCTATGTTATCCAGGCTGATCTTAAGTGACCCTTCTACCTCAGGCTTCCGAAGTGCTGGGATTACAGGCGCACACCACTGTGCCAAGCTAGATTTCTGAAAACGTAATTAGACAATAGGCATTAAAGCCTTTAAAAAGCTTACACTCTGACTTTGTAGCTCCATTCTAGAACCCAAAACAAATGATTAAAAATTCAAACACAATAAAAAAATCTCAGGACAACATTATTAATAATGGCTTTAGGCTGAATGTGGTGGCTCACACCTGTAATGCCAGCACTTCGGGACGCTAAGGCAGGCGGATCAACTGAGGTCAGGAGTTTGAGACCACCCTGCCAACATGGTGAAACCCCGTCTCTACTAAAAATACAAAAATTAGCTAGGTGTGGGGGCTCACACCTGTAATCCCAGCTACTTGGGAGGCTGAGCCAGGAGAATCATTTGAACTTGGGAGGTGGAGGTTGCAGTGAGCCAAGATCATGCCACTGTACTCCAGCTTGGGCGACAGAGCAAGACTCTGTCTCAGTAATAATAGCTTAAAATCTAAAGTGACACCCACCCCTTGAGTAGGTATAGGACCTGTAACTTGCCTGTAACCAACAAGCTATGGCAGAGGTGATGAGATATATGTGGCTCTGCGTACATGATTACATGCATCTGTAGCAAACGCCCAGGTAACACCCAGGCTGCTAACCTTCAAACCATACCTTAAGTAGCAGGGATCAAAATACTCAAGAGAAAAAATGAAGTGAAAAGGATGCACAAAATGACACCAATCTCATTACTTTAATCGATGTTTGAAAACTTCCAACATAAACAAAAAAGAAGAAACACTTGAAATCTTCATTGAAGAAAACTGAGAGATCATTAATAAGGAATATTGGACAGCCACACCAGAAATTAATGTTTTCCAAGCATATTTACTCATACATACTCAAAAGTTCCTTCTAAAATGAAGCATACAATGCAAGGAAAGACAGAAACCTTCCAGATATCCTTCATAAACTTAGAATTCTTCCAATGCCAAAAGCTAACAAAAATAGCAGAAAACTGCAGACCAATCTCACTCATACTTACATACGTAAAAATCTTACAGAAATTTTAGCAAGTAAAATTCAGCATTCTGTTAAAAATTCTGGGAATGCAAAGACAATTCAGTCTTAGGCTATACAGTAATGTAATTCATTATACTAGTAGTTCAACACAGAAAACCACATGATCATCTTCATAGACACCCAAAGTTATTTGATATAGTTTAAAAACCATCCCTGCTTTTAAAACAAACCAGAATGAGCCAATCAAATGCCATTTGGTAAATTCAGTAATTAAAAAAACACTACCTTAACATTAAAAAAAAAAAAATCTACGATACTCTCCAGTCAATAGTCAATGCTATTTTTACTGGTTAAAAAAACAGGGGCTGGGCGCAGTGGCTAACGCCTGTAATCCCAGCACTTTGGGAGGCCGAGGTGGGTGGCTCACTTGAGGTCAGGAGTTTGAGACCAGCCTGGCCAATGTCTTGAAACCCTGTCTCTACTAAAAAACACAAAAATTAGCAGGGAGTGATGGCAGGCACCTGTAATCCCAGCTATTTGGGAGGCTGAGGCAAAAGAACTGCTTGAACCCAGGAGGTGAAGGTTGCAATGAGCCAAGATTGTGCCAGTGCGCTCTAGCCTGGGCAACAGAGTGAGACTGTATAATTAATTAATTAATGCATTACTATTTAGTTGGACTAACAGAATAATTCCTACCCTTTCTTAAAAAAAAAAAGTTTTCCTACAAGTTATAATCAAAGCAACAAGGCCAGGGTAAGAATTGCTGGAGAATATACAAAAAATAATTATAGTAAATAATAAAATTGGCTTCCTGGAAACTGAAGAGAATCAACTAAACATGAGATTAGGGGAAAGTGGCCAGTTACCAAAGAGAAATACAAAAATCAACAGCTTTCCAAGCACACAGTAGTGAGTTAAACGTGAACGCTGGGGCCAGAATGAATCGCAAGTCATGTTTTAGATATCGCTTCCTCTCTGTTCTTAGTTTCTACCTGAATGTCACATTTAGCACGTGAAATCTAGAAGCAAGCTTGATAGCAGTGTAGCATATCACCAAGCATTAGCTATTACATGCCAGCAATCAGCAATTGCAAAATTCAAGAGAAAGCATATTCTGCTCACAACTATGAAATGCATCTATAAAATGCCCAGGTGTAGTGACTCATGCCTGTAATCCCAGCATATTGGAAGGCCAAGGTGGGAGGATTGCTTGTGCCCAGGAGATCAGCCTGGGCAACATAAAGAGACCCCCAACACTACAAAAACTACAATAGGTAGGCATGGCCAAAGCAGGAGGATTGCTTGAGCTTGGGAGGCGGAGACTGCAGTGAACCATGATCGAACCACTGCCTCCAGCCTGAGTGACAGAGCAAGACTGTGTCTCAAAAACATATATAAATAAATAAAACATAAAATTATAAATGCCTAATGATTAAATTATGAAATAGCATGGAGGGCAGTGAATAAAATATACTTTTCTAAGAGACCTAAACAAAAACTCATCTACATGGAGAGCCAGGATGGATTTATAAACATAATGTAATTCCAATGAAAGTTTACAATTCAGCTGAACCAATAAACTGGCCACGGTAACTGTAAAAATAATAGCAGGAGTTTGCAATTACTCAGCCCTTACTGTGTGCCAGCTGTTGTTGTAAAGTGCTTTGGAGCTTGGCAAAGATTACAATATTTGTCCAAGCTTTACAACAAATCTCACAAAATAGATTGGATTACTACCTCCACTTTACATAGATGAAGGTGAGGCTGACAGCTATTAAGGAAATTGCCTGAAGTTACACAGCTGGAGAACAGCAAAGCTGGGGTGTGAACCCAAGCAGTAGTGACGTGGGAGACTGGCAGGACTTTTTTTCTGGTCACAACCCTGCTGACCAAAACGGGTCCAGACAGGATGAAGTGAAGAAACCAGCAGGAACCAGCCAAAGGCCACTAAGTGATCCCAAGATGTCCTTCTTGCTCATTAGCATAAGACACTCCCACCAGGACCATGACAGTTACAAATGCCATGGCAACAACCCAGAGTTACTGCCCCTTTCCTAGAACGTTCTAAATAATGCCCCCTCTATCTGCATTGGCCTGCTCCTTAATTTGCATGTAATTAAAAATGCATTTACATGCATATAAACACAGTTGCCAAGAGCCCATACAATGTCCATTCTGGGTGCACTGCCTGTGAGTTAGCCCTGCTCTGCAAGGAGCCCTACCCTTCAATAAAAGAGTTCTGTCTAACACCACCAGCTTGCCCTTAAATTCCTTCCTGGATGAAGCCAAAACCCTCTCATGCTAAGCCCCAGTTTTGGGGTTCACCTGTCATGCAACAGTAGAAACCAGAACAGGCTCTCTTTCACTTTGCTATATCTTTTAAAACTGTGACATGAAACACACAAAGAGAAATGTACACAAAGCATGAATGTATAACTCAAGGGGTTATCACAAAATCTGCATCACCCAGACACTCTTCTGCTCCTCCCAGTCACTATCTTCTCCCTTCACCTCACTAATATCATATATCCTGACTTTAATATGATAGTCTAGTTTTGCTTGTGTTTGGAATTTATGTCAGTGGAATGATGATACATTATTTTGTGTCTGGTGTCTGTCACTCAACAATGGGTCTATAAAATTCACCCACCGGGTGCGGTGGCTCTCACCTGTAATCCCAGCACTTTGGGAGGCCAAGGCAGGTGGATCCTGAGGTCAGGAGTTCAAGACCAGACTCCTAAGATAGTGTAACCCCATCTCTACTAAAAATATAAAAATTAGTTGGGTGTAGTGCCAGGCACCTATAATCCCAGCTACTTGGGAGGCTAAGACAGAGAACTGCTTGAACCTGGGAGGTGGAGGGTGCAGTGAGCCGAGATTGTGCCACTCCACTCCAGCCTAGGTGACAGAGCGAGACTCCATCTCAAAAGAATAAAAATAAAAAATAAAATTCTCCAAAGTTGCTGCATGTTTAGGTTTGTTCACTTTCATTATCTAGTATTGGGTTGCCTGAATATACAAGTTATTCAACCACACCCTAGACATTTGCATTATTTCCAGGT